TAGTGTCTGGGTGTCCTTTGTGCCCACCTACTTGAGCACCAAGGGGAAATTCATGGTGGCTGTGGAGGTCTTCTCCATCTTGGCCTCAGGTGGTGGCTTACTGGCTTGCATTTTCCTACCCAAGTGTTATATTATTGTGCTGAGACCAGAGCTGAACACCAGGGAACAGCTAGTCAGAAAAAAGGATGGTGTCATACAAGGATAAGGGAAAAAAATGATTTAAGAATTAATAGGTCAAAGAATTTTATTCATGAATGGTTTTCCTTTCCCCTCACTATTTCTGTAATATAGAAATCAAAATGTACATGTATGTATGCATAATTTAGTCTAGGTATGTGTGCATAATTTAGTCTAGATTGAAGATTTACTTGCTTTACGTGAAAAATCAGAACCCTTGCAGCACCGCTTCAGACTAAGAAATTTTATTAAATGTCTAAACTTTTGTGAACTACAAATTTGTCACAGTAGGTAAGAACTGCATTCAGTTGTCTAGTGGGTAGAGCCATGACAAATGTAATATTGTTTGTTTGGCTTGTTATGGATGTTTGTGTATTTGTATGTGTATGTATATATACACATACACACAGAAGGAGAGCAGAATCTTGAAACAATTGTGATGTCAAGAGGAAGAAACCTGTGGGTTCTGTGCTACATGTTGTAACTTTGAACACACAGTTGTCCAAAGCAGTTCTCCAAAGAAGAGCAGGAAATCCATGTTAATTACAATTTAGCTGCCCCACTGCTGGAAGCTCCTATTCAAACTCGGGCAGTGTCTTCTCGGTCATCTCATCTGTTCATCACCTTTCTGTGTTGAAGTTCTATAACAAAAATGGAAGATAGGAAACATATAAAAATATTTAGCTCCACCACTACTGGTATCACCCTCGCCAAGACTGTTGTCCCTAGATTTCCCTGACTCCACTTCCCCTCCACCCCACTTGTCATCAGAGGACACGTCTACCAGGGCATAACTTGAAGCTAGGCTTTAAGAGCAGAGAAGTAGCAATGAGGACCTTCACAAGAGAAAGTATGCAGTCTGTGGCTCAGTCCTGAAACGTAGGAGGTGATAATAAAAACCACATGGCATTTAACCATTATGTCAGATGGAGGAAAAAAATCTTCCATATCGGGGGATATAGCTTGAGTCCAGTAATCATGGAAGTATTTCACATTATGCAGGCTTTAGAAGCACCTGCCTCAATGTTTAATGCCATTCAACACAAGGCAAAGAAATTCACAAAGGACACATTTATTATCAGCTTTTTCTATATCACTGCAGTAACCTAAGATGTTTTTCACATTTATTGATTTGTTCAGTTAGTGATTATTTATCTTAAACCCTGTCCTTCATTTAGCTACATCTCTTTCTGGTTCACAGCTACTGGAACAAAACACAAGAATTCCCAACCACAGAGTAAGAACTAAAACAACAATGAAAAGCAGAAAAACTTTATAGAAGCCAGAGGAGAGGTCTTCTTGGAGAATCAGTTTCATAATGGGGGATGCATCCCTGCCATTCCTCTTCTTTTTTTGGTCACCGCCTTGCCTTAGCAACTTGGCAAACTCTGCTTGGCTGAAAAGTAAAATAGCCTGAGGAAAATCCAGGAATTCTTTTCAGCCAGGTTCTGCTGGTGAAGCACAAGAGAGAGTTAGACTTCGGGGTGCTTGGATAGCACAGGAGGGGAGGGGAGGATAACTATGAAGTGTTATCACTAAGAGTTATATATCAATCAGATCATGGAGACATAGTTGCAATAGAATATACACTTCAACATTAGTAAAAAAAGAAATCAAATGGAGTCCTTTTAAATGGAGGTTTAATCACTAGTAGTGGCATGGGTGTATGAGTGGGTGTGTGCTTTCAAAAATATCAAGCAACTGGTTGTTATTGAGATGTCAAAGTCCTGCTCCTTTATTCCATGCATCATACATGCACATTATGTAAAAAAGAGGAAGGGCTTCAGTTGCGTGGTTGTGTCTGCCATCTTGAATTTTCAGGCTCTCCCCTAAAGATGCTTCTGGTCACCAGGAAAGTACTGAAAAATATGGATATGACCATTAAAATATCCTTCTGGTCAGATGTTCTTTTGTGTTTAGATGTGGCTTCAACAGTATGATGTAGCACTTGGGGAGAAAGATGCAGCCCAGGAGACCTGCAGTAGAAGCCAAGATGGAGAAGATCTCCACAGCCACCATATATTTTCCCTTGGTGCTCAGATAGGCTGGGATGA